AGAAGGTGGCCAGGAAACAGGAGGTGAGGTGGTTCTTGTCGGAACATCTCACTTCGGAATAGGTCTGGGTGATGATTTTCCTTCTGACTCATTCCACCTGTTGCTGCGTCCACTGTTGAGGTCAATTAGCAGTCACAGCTGGCCCTTCTGTGCAAGCAGGGCAGGACAAATCTGGCTTGGGCTAGTTTAAGGACTAACTGAAATTTACTGGCATTCATAGGATCAGGTTACAACCCCCTTTGAGTCATAGCAATTCCTTAATCTTAAGGAATAAGGGTAGGCAACTATCTGGCTACTACCTGCTGACATGGGGTGGAGTATTAGGGACCTAGGAACAGGCAAGGAATGATTGTTCACTCCTGGGGGTAGCCGGCAAAGAAGCCTTAGAAGGTAAAAAAGGAAAGCTTAAGTCCTCCCCTTACCTTCCCCACCAAACTCACAAAAAGCTAAGTGGTTTTCAGTTTATCTTAGCCACTTAGAAGTGAATCCCCTTGACCCAAAATCAAAAGATAGCAGAACCAAGATTTGAACCCAGGCAGACGGTCTCCAGAACCCTTCTATTGCACTGCCACCAGAAGCTTTATTGGCTTTTTCCTGCTGCCAGACCCTTTCATACCCTCAGAGGTTTTCCCTTCAATCCAATTAACAGCCTCCATGTAAACACAGTACACCCGCTGATTGCTTCCAACTTCTGGGCACCAGTGCTGCTCACCAGCTTCTGCCTCCTTGCTCCATACCTGAGGTTTAGGAGGGCAAAGAGAATGGCCAATAAAAGTTGCTTAGGTGCTAAGAGAAGCAAAAGAAATTGCCTTGTAAAAGCAGAACACACACCAATAACCACTGAAATGCAAGCTGGCCACACCCCCAGCCCAGGAGACTGAAATAGAACCGTTACCTAAGATACCTGGAAACACCAAGTTCCTGGACTACTTAAGGATCATCTGAAACACTACATCCCCAGGCTACCTTAAGGAAAGGTCTCCCATACAGCATTTCATAGGAGCTCAACTGGAGCCTGCTTCTAGTGTTGTAGGGGAAAAACATCAGAAAGTTGAGTAAAGCAAAAAGAAAGTCTTATTCGGCATATATTCAAAGGACAAAAGTGGGAAACAGACGACCATGCTGCCAGAGCTGTGTCTGCCTGAGTCCAAGGAAATATCACAGAACAGACGAAAGTGGGAAAGCGGACAAGCATGCTGCTAGAGCCATGTCTGTCCAAGTCCAAAGAATATTACAGAATTGCCAAGAATGGAAAAATGGACAAGGATGTTGCCACAGTCATGTCTGCCCGAGTCCAAACACCATTACAGAGTCATCAATACATATTAACATTACAAATGGGCTAAACCATTGAAAGCTTAGCCTTTTCAGGGTGGCTAGAAACTGTGATCCTACATTTTGAACTGTCTTTCTTAACAATCATTGGTACAGTTTTCAGCAATGACAGTCAGGAGGGTCTTCATTGGTCCAACAAATTTCTGTTCACAAATGTTAATAGAAAAAGTTAAGAGTGGAAAGTCTTTTTGTGTTCTGTTTGATTGGCTTTATGTGAAAGTTTCCCTAAAAGATATTTTCCAAGATTATTTTAGCTATTGACTTTATACCTCAGGGCCCAGTTGATGTGTCCTTGTGTGTCCTTGTGAGTCCTTGTGAGCCCAGCTCCAGCTGGGTCACATTCTCCATGCTCAAGGACAGGGAGTAATAACTCCAATATTTCCTAAATCACTAGGGGACACCCAGACTTTCAACAGGGCAATGTAGCAGCTTGATCCAGGGTAGGCTAGTCTCTTAGAATACAAGTATTCACCCACATTGCCCACATTAGCTTAGATTTCTAATTAGACCTTTTAAACACACAGTCAATGCAGTTGTTACTGTGGTCTCCAGGGAGCATGTAGCTTCCACCGAACTCCTAATGTCCTGACTTTGGATACAAAGGTTCCTCCATTATTGCTTTGAATTGAATAAAGTAGACCAAATCTAGGAATAATTTCATTGAAGAGATCTTTGCTTACCTTGGATGCCTTTTCCATTTGGAAGGGGAAGACTTCTACCTCTCCAGTAAAGGTATCTACAAACACTGAAAGATACTTGAAACGTCCTGTAGCCATTGGCATACCTGTTAAGTCCACTTGCCAGTCTTCTCTGGGTCCAGTCCAGTAGGCTTGTACCCCAGGCACAGGAGGTGGTGGGCCTGTTTTTGGATTGTTCTTCACACAGGTGACATATTGTTAAGTCTTTTGCAGATGAGGTCCCTTAATCAGTTTGGCTAGCCAGTGAAACATAGCATCCCGACTGTATTGTGTGAGCTGCCTTTATTGTCGGGTGCATCAAGTGTTCTGGTATTAACACCTGTCCTTGGAAACTGTACAACCACCGGTCTTCTGCTCTGTTATTAAGATCAAAGCCCCATTCACAATCTCTACTTATATCACATTCAGTGCACTGGGGGTTTTCTGGTAGTTGAAGATTAGGAATTAAAGCAAGGCAAGTGATGGGTTTTTGTTCTAGTGGCTTGTTTGGCCACCTGATCCTTTAATTATGTGAGACTCTCCCTTCTGGTGCCTGGCACAGTGTATAACCACAACCTCTGTTGACTTTCAAAAAAGGCATCTCTAGTAGGCCTTCTTTCCTCCAGCCGAGATGCTCTTTGCTGTCACGGGTCTGCCAGGATTTGGGGCGAGGTAAGGATGGTGATCGTCTCACCAGGCCCTGAAGTTTTTTGCTGCCTCTGCCTGTGTTTGGCAGCTCTCCACCCTGCCAATGAAGCCGACCAAGGGCTGGAACTGCACACTTGTCCCTGCCTGGGGCAGCTGGAGGGTCCCCTGTGTGCCTGGGACAGCAGCAGAGGACGTGTTCTCCAGCTCTCTGGTCAGTTGTGTAAGTTGCCCTCCCACTGTTACTGCAACTTGGGGCTCCTTGTGGGTTGCAGGGGAGCCCCTGGGTCCCATCAGTCCAAGTCATCGGCTGACAGCTGCGGGAGCTGTATTGGGTTTCCTGCTCGGACTGGGCTGGGTACGAGGGGCACTCTCGTTTCCAGTGGCCTTTTTGTTTGCAGTAGGCACACTGCCTGGGGCCTAGCTTTAGGGGGCCTTGGGTTGGCCACAGGCCCTTTTGGGGCTCCCCCAAGTACTTACCCCGCCTGAGTTCTGCCTGGGTGGCCAGTTACCTCCGAGAGGTGCTGCCAGGAGTGCAGCCTTTTTCCTTGTACCTGGTCCCAATTATTGAAGACCTTAAAGGCAATCTCCGGTATTCATTCCCAGACCTCCTTCCAACCTTTAAAGTTTCTGCCTGATGTTGGGGGCACTCTGGCTGATGAGGGTCATATTTATTAACCTGGCATTCTCTGGGTTTTCAGGGTTTATATCAGTAAATTGCTGGTATGCTTTGTACATATGTTCTAGGAAGCTGGAGGAATTTTGTTTGGAGTCTTGTTGTACATCCTGAACTTTTCTAAGGCTCTTCTGTTTTAGAGCCCCTTGCTGTCAACCAACTATCAAACAGGTTTTTTATAATGTTCTAGCTGTCCTGCCCCCAGGCGATATCTGTGGCAGGTACAGCCTGGGCTGCCAGGAGTCTAATATCATTTTGAGGGTTGAGGTGATGCAACCTGTCCGCCTCTTGGTGTGCCTTTTCTAAGACCATCTTCCATTCCTCTGGAGTTAGGTGAAGAACAGTGTATGGACACAGATAAACCCTCTAGGCTGGCTGTTGTGATCCCATCCAGCAGGCATTTGTCTCAGCAGAAATTGCCCTGAGGAGGCTTGGGTGGATCCCTAGCCAAACTGCACCCCCACTACGGGCGTGTGCTGGGGAGACCACTCCCTGGGCAGGACCAGGAATTTCTGCGACCTAAACCACCACTCTGTACCCAGGGCTACTGGCTTGAAACAAAAAGCCTGTGTTCCTCCCAGGCAAATCCTAGTTCCCCTTTTAGCATATCCCATTAAGTACAGGCTGAAGGTGGAGTTACATGCTCTCTGTCCCTTCCAGATTTGTCTTCTCTTCTCCATATCTTAACTGTCTTCCCATTTATATGCATATGGCCTTGGACCTCTGGCTGGGTGGAGCCAGAAGACCCTGGACCCCTATCAATCATCCAGTTTCTCTGGCCTGGCTTTTGCTCCAGGCCTCTCCAGGTGGGGCTTTTCTCCCCTTCCTTTTTTCCCTGCACCATTAACTTACACTGTTTCTGTAGGTTTTTATTTTGCCAGAGAGCCTTAAAGATTAGTACATAAGGGATTTCATCCCATTTCCCCCCTCTTTTGCAAAACAGATCTAACTGTAAGACGGTAGCCTAGTTAAGTGACCCCGAACAGTAATTAGTTTCCCATATTTCACTCTCACACACACACACACTCACTCAGAAACAGAACCAGAACCTGAACCTAACCAAAGTCAACAACCAGAAACTAGGCTGCCCATTTACTGCCATCGGCTAGGGGAAGTGGCAGAGTAACGAGGTGATCTTAGCCGGGCTTCAATCCCTCTCTAATGGGAATGTCTTAGTCCTACTTCAGTCCTCCAGATACCTCTCCATCTCGAATCCCAAGCACTTATACTTAACAAGAGAAATTCCTAGGGTACTTACTTAGTAGACGTCCATACCTGAGTTACTTTCTAATTCTCAAAGTAAAAGTGCCTCAGGCCGGTCACCGCCTCTGTCGAGATTAGGAGACCCATCCGATCCTCCGGAACAAGAGGCTTGGTGTGCACTGAGGGTCAGTAGAGGTTCCGCTCGAGGTCGAGGGGGTGCCGGGCTCCGGACAGAGGGTCTGTGTGATCCTCTGGCCCCACTTTGGGCGCCAAAATTGTTACCAAACCCAGGAAGGTGGGTTTTTGTCTGGCTCACCCAGACTTGCCAATAATCTGGGCACCGGTCTTTGAGAAAGAGAAAAGAAGTTTTTTGCAATGCAGAACAAGGATCTGGCAAGGAATTCCTCAGATCCGACTCCCCAAGGAATGGGGAAGCAGGGCTTATATTTGATTTGGGCAGCAAGATGGCGGCCACGCAGGCGTACTGGGGTGGAGGGGGGAGAATTCGAGAAGGCAGTGAGGAAACAGGAGATGACATGGTTTTTGTCGGACCTCTCACTTCAGAATATGGTCCTGGTGATGGTTTTCCTTCTGATTCACTCCATCTGAAGCTGCGTCCTCTATTGAGGTCAATTAGTGGTCACAGCTGGCCCTTCTGCGCCTAGGGGGTGGGCCAGATCTGGCTTGGACTAGTTTAAGGACTAATGGAAATTTCCTAGCATTTATAGTGTCAGGTTACACACATAACCTACACACGTCCTTCCGTATGCTTTAAATTATCTCTAGATTACTTATAATACCTAATACAATGTAAATGCTATGTAAATAGTTGTTATACTATATTGTTTATGGAATAATGACAAGAAAAATAAGTCTGTACATGTTCAGCACAGACGCAACCATCTTAGGCGTAATTACATAGTACACATCAGCAACGATATAACATTTTTTTCAAATATTTTCGATTCACAGTTGGCTGAAACTGCAGATGTGAAACCAGCAGATACGGAGGGCAGACTGCGCTCTGTATGAAGAGGTGGAGGCAGATCAGTCTACAAGCCTAGGAACTCCAAGGATGGCCAGTTATAGACTCTGAGACGAAGATTTTCCCCCAGAGCCCAAAGATAGAGAGCCTTACCTTAGAGCCACTGCCCTAGAACCTTCCCCTAGAGCTGGTGAGAAAATAAATTTGTTCATTAAAGCCACCTGCTTGTAGTATTTCTGTTATACCAGCACTAAAAATCTAAAGCAGCACTAAAAACCACACAACTCAATTACTTTAGTAATCTAAACCAGTTACTTTAATGAGCACCACAGATTTCATGTGGGGTGGTGTGAGGTCAAAAAACTAAAGATACTAGGCTTTATTCATAATTACAACTAATTTTAATACTCTTTATTGTCACTTTAATGTTCCTTTGAAGTTGTCTTATAATTAAAACATATCAGTGTTCTGCTATAACAATTTCAGCAAAAATTACCTGCATTTTTATAAGCCACACTGCAGAGAATATATATCAAATCTCACTTTCTCACACCAAACTGTAAGGATCAATTCAATTCAATTCAATTCTGTTATCAATTTTGTTCTGTCTGTTCCACTTCTGTTCTGATACCAGCTGCACACACAGCACTTCTTCCTTTACCCTAACCAGAGTTCTGCAAGCTACCAAACTGGCCCAAAACCTCAGATGCTAGCCACAAGCTTGGAAGTCCACCCAACCTCGCACTTCTGACCTGCTGGCTACAAATTCAGGATTCCTCCCCACCATCCCGGGGTTCCCTCTCTTCTGACCTCCTGGCTATCAGCTTGGAGATTCCGTCTACCACCTCAGGATACCAGCCGTAAGCTCATGGGCTCCCAGCGCCCCTCACTTCTGACTTGCTGGTCCCACTACTCCATCAGGTTCGATAATTTGCCAGAATGATTCACAGAACTCATGAAAAACACTATACTTCTGATTACAATTGTATTACAGCAAAAAAGATACCAATGAAGAGATGCGTAGAGTGAAGCCTGGGAGAGTTCCCAATGCAAAGCTTCCATGTCCCAAAAAGAGAAGTGATACCCTCCCACATGAATCAATGTCTTCCACCAACCTGGAAGCCCGTGGAAAGTTCAAGTCCAAGCCTTTATTGAGGCCTTATGATGGTTGCTATCAGGAAGTGGTCTTTCTGACCTGCCCAGGCCCGCTGGAGTAACATCATCAGCATAATATGTCAGGTCTGCCCTGGAGGTCTATAGATAACAAAGGCACCTCAGTTACTCAGGAAATTCCAAGGATTTAGAATTATCTCTCAGAAAACAAGGATAAAGACCAAATTACTTTGGAAAAATTTAAATTCTTACCCCCATACATCTTTCTAATTTAGTTAACGTTAATCCGAAAAACTTGGAAATTGAGAAACATATGACCTCCTAACACTTAGTCTATGACTATAATAACGAGCACTTCAGATACATTCAGAATCACAAAGTGCTACTTAGGCATTCATTAATTATGCTTTTAGGAAGGATGGCTAGGGGAGATGTAGAAAATGACGAAACTAACATTCTCTATGCACATATGTCTATATAGGTACCATATTCTTCCAATAATGCCTATAAGGTTACCCTCCTTAGTATTGCTTCCTCATAATCCTTACTGATATTAATTAAAAGAAAAAATAATTCAACCATGTCTGATGTAAAATAAAAATAATGCGTATATTCCCTAGCTCCATCAAGCTTTGTCGTGATCTGCATTATCAGAGCAACAACATAAATTTTACTGTTAAGTTTACATTGAATTTTACATTTTTCCAAATATTGTTCTTGATCTGAAAATAAATTTAAAAGAAATTAATTGATTCATTATTATTTTGCTATCCAGCCTCTTATGGAACATCACCTAGGTATAGATAATATTAAACCAATAAACAAATCTAATCATATATAGCAGTGAAGTAGGAAGATGAGAAGATTGAAAAGCATATTTGTTCTGGAGAATGGGAGATTTTCTCAAGGGAAGAGCAATTACTAAGATATGAATGTTAATTATCCTTTGAAGACGGTTGCAAAATGCAGCAGAGATATTAGGTATAACTGACACCTCAACACAAATTAATTTATCAGGCTAAACTGCCACACACAGATCAAAGCCCTAAGGGAATTGACACAGTGTAGGCTAATTTTGAGTAGTAGAAAGAGCTTAAGGAATGTGATTAAGAAGGGAGGAGATGGATGGCAAGTGAAAGCGTTGAGTATAGCATGTATCCATTAGGCATCTAGTGTAGAACCATGGGATAAAATGAAGAAAACAGTAAGACTGAGTAAAAATTCATGTTCTTTGCAATTTTGCTCATCTTTCATTCTGAAATAAGCACAGCAGCTTTTAAACATCTACCCAGCAGTCACTGATGTCTACAGGAAATAAGAGTAAAATATTTTTATAATGAATATTAAAGGAAAAGTTTCTTGTACATTGGGCCATGATCCTGCATCACTCTGCTTTTGTTGAACTGAACACAACAAGTAGACTATTATGAATTATTCATCACAATAATCACCTTCTCAAGACTATATCTATATGCCATATCTTTTAGATTAAAAAAAAATATGTGCTACTTATCTTGTCCTGTTGGAATATGTGTCAATTTTCCTGCCTGCTATGTTAATTGATTAATTATTCCATGGGCTGTCAAACTATACTAACTTATTATGGGCCTGGTATAATTACAGGTGGTGGTTCTACCTCTTTTATGTGATACAAAGTTTGTCTTCAAATATCAATAAATTTTTTAAATTATGTAACACGAAAACAAAAACAACAAAATATTTTCCCCTTTAAGAGCTCTAGGGAATGGCTAAGTTGAGAAATCAGTAATTAATTCATAATAAGTTATAAGCAAAGGAAGATCTTTAGATGAACTTTAAGAAGTATTTAATTCTGTACTTTTAGTAATCATTTGAACTGGGCATAGGATATAATGGCTACTTCTTGAAAAGTAATAAAAAAAATAATGTCTTACAAACCACTTGCAAAATAATTATAAAAATTATAAATTGACTTTCCATTATATACCAAGTACAAAAATATAAAGTAATTAGGTAGAAAAATATAAAGAAGGTGATTCATTTGGAAAGTAAATATTTATTATTTAGCATCAAATGCAATTTTAGTTGGATCCATGATCAGCACCCATGGAAGCACAGCAGTTAAGAAATAAAAAGATGCATTGCATTGGGCAAATCTGCCGCAAAAGACCTCTTTACAGTGTTGAAGACTAAGGTGCACCTGACGCAAGCCATGTGTTTTCAATCGCATCATATGCATGTGAAAGCTGGACAATGAATAAGGAAGACCAAAGAATTGACGCCTTTGAATTGTGGTGTTGGTGAAGAATATTGAATATACCATGGACTGCCAAAAGAACAAACAAATCTGTCTCGGAAGACGTACAACTAGAATGTTCATTAGAAGCAAGGGTGGTGAGACTACGTCTTACACACTTTGGACATGTTGTCATGAGGGATCAGGCTCTGGAGAAGGACATCATGCTTGGTAAAGTAGAAGGTCAGCGAAAAGAGGAAGACCTTCAACAAGACGGTTTGATACAATGGCTGCAACAATGGGCTCAAGCATAACAACGATCGTGAGCACAGCAGAGAACCAGGCAGTGTTTCATTCTGCAGTACATAGGGTCACAATGAGTCAGAACCGATTCAATGGCACCTAAGAACAACCACATTAAATGCAATAGAATATATATGAATCAAATATGGTTTGCATTATCTTTATATAAAGAGAAATGATAAAAAGAAAGATGTGATGGTCAGTTTTATGTGTCAATTTGGCTCGGATATATATCCGGTTATTAAACCAAACACTAGTCTTAGGTGTCGCTGTGAAGGTGTTTTGTACATATGATTAAAGTTCATAATTTGTTGACTTTAAGTAAAAGAGATTATCTTAGATACCCAAGATTAGCCTTATTAAATAAATTAATACATCTTTAGTGCAGAACTGAGTGTCGCAGATGAAAAATACATTTCGCCTATGGATAGAAACTTCAGCTTGTGCCCGAGAGTTAAGACCTGCCCTTCCTAATGGTCTACCTAACATATTTAGGGCTTGCCTTGCCAGCTCCTACTTTGGCATAAGCCAAATCCTTGCAATAAACCTCCTAATATACATCTGCTACTAGTTCTTTTCTCTGGTTGAACGCTGACAAATACAAAAGATAAATCATATGGTAAAATTTTCATAGAATTTTGAAATACTATTTTGTCCCCAATTAATCAATGAATGCACTTCAATAGCAATAAGGATTATAGTGGAATTTTAAAAAACAATATAGCAATTTCTGGTTTCATCTTGGGGATTGATCAAACTGAAAACAGTGTGACCACCACCATTAAAATTGGAAAAATTCTGGGAAAAACTGCATATTAACTGCTTTTCTTTAAACTATCTGAGAACTGAGGTGGCAGAGCAAAGAACTAACTCAAAATCTAGATAGAGAGAAGTTCCTGGAGAGATAGGAATTAAGCATTTGTTAACTTGGAAAAGACTGAGCCCAGTGCTATGTAAGCTGTTAAGATTTAACCAGAAATATTCCAAATTTCTAAAGCCTGTGGGCTAGCATGAGAGTGTGAAAACTCTACGGGACGAAAAGATGGGGTAGGGTGTTGGTATTCACAAACCTTTCCTCCAGGAACCTTATCAAACACTCACAGGAAAAATTGAGGACAATCCTGACAAAGTTTCAGTCATGGTGGTGCCACTGTAGAAATCCATTTAAAAAAAAAAAAGATTTCCCCTATGGAGGTCTTTAGGGAGCAAAGGCAAGAAAACCATAGCCTGAGGGAATTGATGGAAGCCCACTGCACCTTGAGGAGGAGAACAAGAAATAAAAAAAAGATCAACACTTAAGAAAAGAGCAGGCGCCCTGGGGGTGGGGGTAAGGATGGCGAACGGAGCCGGGTGTTTCAGTGGAGGGAGGGGGAGTTGGTGAGAGTTGGAGGCTCCGTGGGGCTGCTTTCTCGTGCCCCCTGTTTGCTAGTCTCCGGTGGGAGTCCAGGATGGCGGATCCGCGCTGTGTTGGCTGAAACAGATTGTCTTAAATTACCCACGTTTGCTAATGCCATACTCAAAGACCCAGAAAAAGAATCATGTAGTTCAGGAGAACAAGTGGAGTATGAATCTGAAAAAAATTACCAATTAGATGGGTCAAATATTGTAAAGTGCATCAGGAGCAGATGGATAGGTAGTCCAGTATGCAGAGATGTTTCTTGTGGGAATCCACCCAAAGTGGAAAATGCTAATATTATCTCAAAACAGATGACTAGGTATCCACCTGGGGAAAGAGTACATTATGAATGTAACAAACCTTATTCCCTGTATGGAGAGGTAGAAGTGATGTGTCTGAGTGGAACCTGGACAGAAGCACCTCAGTGCAAAGATTCTGAAGGAAGATGTGAGTTTCCTCCACCTATTGAAAATGGAGACACAACTTCATTCCCATTACCTTCCTATGCTCAAGGATCAACAGTTGCGTACCAATGCCAGAACCTCTATGAACTTCAGGGTAACAAGTATATAACATGTAGAAATGGGCGGTAGTCAGAACCACCAAAATGCTTAGGTGCATGTTTAATATCAGAAGAAATGATGGAAAAACATAACATACAGTTCAAATGGAAACGTGACAAAAAATTTATTCCAAAACAGATAATACTGTTGAACTTGCTTGTAAATGGGGATATAGGCCAAAGACACCAAGAGAGACTTTTCGAGCAACATGTCAGGAAGGGAAGCTGGAGTATCCCAGTTGTGAAAACTACTATGGTTAAAATGTGTTTATACAATCAAAATATACACGTATCTTGACTTTTGTATTATTAATCTAGTTTTCACAATTTTATTTTTCTGAATGTTAAATCATTTTTATTCATAAATTAGAATTTGCATTATATATTAAGTGAATGGTGTAATTATAATTCGAGCGACCAATATCTGATCCTAAAAACCACCATATTAAAACTTGGCAAACCATTAAAAAAAAAAAAAAAATAAGAAAAGAGCAGGCCTATATGATGGTCCCAGCATAATTACTGAAGAACACTTGTGAAGGCCACACCCTCCAAGAATCAGGTTCACAAAGTCTGCCAAAGATTGAGGTTTAGTCAGAAAATCAGATAACATCTTTCCAACCCAACAACAAAGCTAGCAAGTCTTAAGCAAAAATAACAAGAATGCTGCAAGAGAACAGATTCACTCTAGGGGAGCAGTGTAAAGGCAAGCACAAAGGCAAGTGTGGAAACACAAAGCCAAGCAGGGATCAAACTTCAAATCCAGTCCAATCCCTGAGGAGAATAACACAAAGTCCCTATTTCTTCCTAGGAGGAAAGGTGTGCTCATCTTCAAGAATAAAAAATATTTACCTCAGGATTCACTGTTCTATACAACATGTTAGGCATGTTAGGCTTTCAACAAAAAATCACAGGGAATGCAAAAAGGTTAAAAAAAGGACTGAAGAGACAAAGCAATCTTCAGAACCAGACTTAGATATGACACAGATGTTGCAACCTCACACAGGAAATTTTAAATAACTATGACTAATATGCTAAAAGATCTAATGGAAAAGGTAGATAACATGCAAGATTAGATATGTGATTTCAGCAGAGAAATGACAATTATATGACAGAATCAAATGGAAATGCTAGGTATAAAAAACACGGATATAGAAATGAAAATTCCTTTGAAGGAATCCAGTAGAATCTACACAGCTGAGAAGAGAATCTGTGAAGTTAAAGATAGGTCAATAGAAATTACCCAAACTAAAATGCAAAGGGTTTAAAAAAAAAAGGGTGGGAGTGGGGAAATAAAACCAAGAAATAAAACCTGTAGGGCAATAGAAAATGGTATAACATATGAATACTTAGAAATCCAGAAGGAGAAGACATAAAAATGCAGAAGATACTTAGATATTTTGAAGAAATAATGGAAAATAATTTTTAAAAATTAGTGATAGTAATTAAACAACCAATCCAAAAAGCACAGAGAATACCATACAGGAAAAAATAACAAACATAATACATACGCACAGACACACACATACACATATCTCTAGGCACAGGAAAGACAAAGAGAAAACCTTGAAAGCAAGCCAATCAGAGAAAAAAATACACATTGCATACAGAGATTTAGGATACTAATTATAGCCAAGTTCTCACTAGAATTCATGCAAAGGAGAAGATAATGTACTGACATCTATCAAGCGTTAAAAGAAAATTCTTACCAAGCAGAACTGTGTATGCAAGGAAAACAAACTTCAAAAATAAGATTTATCAGAAAGAAAAATGGATGGAATTCATTACCAGTAGACCTATTCTTTCAGAAATTTTAAAGAAAATATTTCTAGCAGAAGAAATATGATATAGTCATATCTTGGATCTACATAAAAATATGAAGGATGTTAGAAATGGAAGGAATTAAGGTACTTTTTTTCCATTTTTATTTGCTTTAAAGATAAATGACTTTAAAGCAAAACTTGTAACCATGTATTGTGTGTTTATAACTTAAATATAAGTGAAACATATGTCATCAATTGCATAAGAAGTAGGAAGAGGAATTGAGTATGTATTGTTACTAAATTCTTACACTGTATGTGAAGTAGTATAATATTATTTGAAGGTAGACTAAGATGGAAAAATACATGAAACTTAGTTAAGAAGCAATAAAAATAAAATCAAAAAGAGTAAACAGTCACAAACTGTCCATTTTAACTTCATTTTAGTTTTCTAAAATCTTGCTTGAAATAAATATACACATATATCTATTAACTGATGTGATAGATTTTTATATTGATGTTTAAAATGGAACGGAATGCAATAAAATATAAAATATTTTGGATAATGTGATGAAAACTATGTCATTTAGTTATGCAGCCTAATCATCTGGCTACATAAGCAAACAAACAATAACTGTAGTTTGATGGCATAGATTAAATTATACTTATAAACTTCTAGAGATAATTATAGTTCTCAAGTCTAGGCTCATTGTTTCTCAACATATCAGATTGGCTTTTATAAAAATATGCATCCCTGTGTTCGGACATAGATTCTGACTTAGCAGCTCTTGTGTGAGACTGTGGTGTCTTCATTCTCCTGAAGCCCAACAGCTGATTTTTGTGCATTCCACTGATGAGGACATATGCGTATTTGCCTTGCCAGTTTAATTCCTTTTCAGTGAAGATTAGTGTTATACAAAGTAAGAGACTCTCTCTGTGAGTTGAGAAATGCTGCTTCTTAGTATATTTGGAAAGGATGTAATTATAACATTGTTTTCAACTGAAAAATTCAGAACTCTAAGTTATTGTGAATTTTAAGTGACTAACATGCTCTCACTTTTCATTTGACATAGACGACCTGACTGAACTGATTTTTTACTTTAGTTATTGTGCCTTAGGGCCTCGAACCACGATTATTGCTTTTAGAACATAATTTAGCAACAATAAAATCCTCTATACATACAATCAATTTAGTGTACATGATTTAATACTGTATACAATTAGAATAAATACTTTCATTTATGTTTATTTTTATAGACACTTTTTCTTCGCTATATTATGTTCAAAGTGCTGATCCGTGCTTTCTGAGTGGTTTGTCCAAATTAAATGCGAAATTTATGTTGAGTCATTTATGCTGTTTCTTTCAGTTACCTTGGTAACCAAAACAAAAATATTTTAATATTAAACCATAAATTACTCACTTTCTAAAATAAATAAATAAATAAAACCTTCAACCCTTTGTAGGTCCAAATATAGTAGTTGTAATTTTAGTGAATTTTGAGGGTTAGTAGGCTAAATTCAAAGCCAAGGCTAGCAAGGGAAACAAGCATGAGATTTCCAGGCAGTTCTTTAAGAGGTACTTTGCACCCAAGGAAACCCTGGTGGTGTAGTGGTTAAGAGCTATGGCTGCTAACCAAAAGGTCAGCAGTTTGAATCTACCAGGTGCTCCTTGGAAACTCTATGGGGCAGTTCTACTCTGTCCTATAGGGTCACTATGAGTCAGAATCGACTCAATGGCAATAGATCTGTTTTCTTTTGTTCCCAAAGGAAGAAAAGTGTTTCAGCCAGAAATGGGACAGTTTCAGGGATGAAGCTAAGGGGAAAACTCCCGTAGGGAAAAAAAAAGAATAGATTCTTACTAACAAACAACAAAAAATTACCTTGCTATTCTATTTTGCTTGGCGCCTCACTCTTCCCATCAAGGAATCTATGTAGCTGGTCTGCCCCAGCTCTATTTGCTAAAATAGAACCTTTGGCTGATGAAATTATTTTGATTCCCTGAGGGATTTATTATAACTGTATCTGACCACGGCTGAGTACTATGAGGACAGATATTCAAGACTTACTCTTCGGAATAGTCTCCGTAGCCTAATGTGAATTAGTTTCAAAAGCTCAAATTCTTTTTCTGAAAAGCAAATTCAAACAATCCAAGATCTAAAGTTTGCTCTGTCACATTCCCTTTGGCATGTGCAGTGCAATGAATTACTTAACATGGCCCTTGTAGCCATGGTCTTCATGACTCACACACAGTGATTGAGTGGGACTATGCAAATAAGGTATATGAAGCCTGTGATGATAGGGGTTATGTGTCAATTTGGCTACACCATGATTCCCAGTGTTGTATGGTTGTCCTCCATTGCAACCTGATGTGATTATCCTAATTACCCTCCATTGTATGTGTTATAAATCCTAACCTTTATATGTTTATGTGGAATGGTTACTGTGGGGTGTATCTTGAGTCACAGCCTTGTAGGAGGGCATGACTCAAGTCCTACCCTTACTCAAGTTATGCCCTTCCCTGGGATGTGGCCTGCATCCAAGGTGTACATGTAGGTTCTCTGGTGGGGCTCTCTATCTCTCTGCACCTGGGTCCTGCGTCATTGTCTGACCTCTGGCTCTTGGGACTTGAGCCAGCGGCCTGCCATCTGACCTGTCAATTTGAGATTCACCAGCTTCCAGTGCCCTGTGGACTAGAAGTTTGTATTGTCTGACTTGATTCGCCAGCTTCCGCAGCCTTGTGAGCCTGCAGTCTGTTGCCTGGTCTGCCGATTTGGGTTCCTCAGTCCCAGCGACCGCATGAGTCAGGAGAAGCCTACGCCTGATCCGTGGATTTGGGACTTGCCAGCTTCCACAACTGAGTGAACCATTTCCTTGATACTATCTGTAAGTTCTGGGAGACAATGCAGCAAATTACTGAACCCAAAGACGGGAGGGAGGGTACTGAGGGGAGGAGGAGTAGTTGACGTTAGAGATGATATGGTGATACAGCAGTTTGGAAAAGTTGGACATTTTTAACCTCTGCCTCATAGGAACCAGCTTTGTGCTGATTCTCATAAAAGAAATTATTCATTTACTGTGCAATTATCTCAAACTCTGATCTTTGATTAAAAACTGAAATTGAAAAGTAGAGGTAAAACCCAGAAATACAAATAAGAGAAGTTTCTGTCTAACACAGAACCCACTGGTGACTACTTAAAATGTCAAATTATTTCGGTTACATGTTGACTATAAAAAAGGAGATGTACAAAAATGTCAAAGACATCTTCTTTCTTACATCTGTAAGTAACCTGAGTCCTGTAGATAAAATTTACAGTAAAACACAAGCAATGTGAGCAGAAAACCTTTTGTACTAGTCTTAGTACATAAGCTCATAGGTGCATGTGCTGGATATACATGTATACACATCCAGGTTTCTTTTTATATCTAGACTCTACATAATGTTATTAGTCATTGTGAGCATTCTGAACGTATTTTAATACAGCTGCGTATTTTGACCAATAC